GGCGTGTGTGGCAGGGAGCTGCCCCATCCTGCTCACAGCCCTGGGGCCTGCGGTGATGCCCCAGCAGCTGGTGGCGCCGGGGCCACCTCTCAGCGGGCGCCCACAATGGATGGCCCGGTGCCACCCACCCAAACTTGTCCGACAGAAACCACAGGGACCACTGCCGGCTGCACGTCGCTGCTGCCGCGAGGCGGGTGTGGGGACCAGGCGCCTCCCGCAGCCAGGGGAACCCTCCCTGCCCCTCACCGCGAGCAGCAGCCATGGGCAGCACAGGAGAAAATGTGGTCCTTGTCCCTCACGGTGAAGGTTGAGGAGAGCGGCTGGGCTCGATGGTGCCTGTGCTCACCCCGCTATGGCCCCTGGCTCTCCTCGGGGTAGGCCTTCAGGACAGCATGCCTGCAACTGGGAGGGCCACGTTGGTCGCATGCTAGTGGTCTGGCAGACCTCATCCCAGCTCCAGGGAGGGATAACGTCCTTTCATTGACCTGTATACAAGTATTTGAGTCAGGACTTCCAAAACCAGGCAGCTTCAGTTTAGAGGTTCAGACCAGGACGGATTTCAGCTGGCGTTTTCCAGCCTCCTGCCTCCCTGACTTCCTCCCTAGAAAATGTGCGGCCATCCGAATCTCTGGAAGGGCGCTTGCTCCTCTTCACATCCCTCCAGCGCTCCAGGAGTAGAGAGTGGATTTGCATGTCTCCTCTAGCCTCTTCCCTGCCTCTCACCAGTGCCGGAGCCCATGTTTTCCTGGGCTCACACGTGTGATGTTCTGCTGGCTCTCTCCGTGTGCTAGAGCACGCTCTGCCTACAAGCAATGGCAGCGCTGCTGAAAAGCCTCCTGGCAAGGAACTGCACGTATCAGCGCCTGGTTTAGTCACTTCAAAACAATCTAGTTAGTAAGAGGGAGAGGAGGGAGGAAGACTGTACTCCAGGCAGAGATTGCACATGGAAATACCGATGAGATGACACTGTTCTCTGAGAAGTATTGGAACAACTGGAAGAGCAATAAAACACCGCTGTTTCCATCCACACGGCTGTACGCCATGGACAAAGAAAAGGCGGGGATCTTATTGGAAGTCACACCTGATTCATATCTGTCTGGGCTGCATCAGCTCTGATGCTGGAGAGAGACAGGCTGAACCCTGCCCACTTAAACAAAAGGAAAATGCATGAAGGAGAGTGCAGCCGAGGCAGTTACTGAGCCTCGGTGGGCAGCGGGCAGCCCTGCTCCAGCAACAAGGGCAGCAAGGAGCCGCCTGTGCCCACCTCCTCCTCTTCCCCCTGCCCGGGACATGATCTTAGCACTGTGTGCTGCTGGCTCTTGGGCTGCAGCTAGAGTTGCTGCTCTCCCAGGGCAAAACTGATCAAAAGATCAATGATTTAGTCAGGTTCTTGTGTTTTGGGGTATCTGACAAAGGCAATTGTTAGATGCACCCTGCAGAGCAACCCATCTCTTAAGCTATTCTGGGGCAAGTGGGTTTTGCAGGTAGAAATCTCATCTGATTAGCTGCAAGAGTTATCCTGCGAGTCAGTACTGGCTGGTTAGAAAACTCTTCTCTAGCTGAATGGAAGCCAAAAAATTCTGTAAAGCCTTGTTTCCAGCCACATTTTTTGGGTTAGTAGCCAGAAAACCCCAGCACATCAGGAAAAAAACACTGGCAAACAAAACAGAAGATGGCTTTTGTGGTTTTCCTTTGCATTGGTGTGTTCAGGGGGAGTAGGGAAGGTTTTGCTCCCTCTCTGACAATTGGGTTGGGTGGGGTCTCTGGAAAGCACACATTTTTTAACTCACATACTTAGAAAAAAAATAATATCTCTGCTTAATGCCCAGACAAGAGGTGCTGGTCCTAAGCCTCATTTTCAGGAAGGAAAACATGGCAAAATTCAGGAGAGATACATGCATGTAAAGGAGGCAGTACGAACGAGTCAGAAAAGCTGAATTATATCCCATTCTGATGGCTTGACATGTTGCTTCCCCCTCTCTCCTCTTTGTCTTTTTTCCATCCTGTCTCCACACAGCATTAGAGGGACAACATTTGGGTCAGGATGGCCATGAGCTATGTGTCCGATGCCCCCCACAACATGTTGCCATGGTGCAAGCCTCTGCAAGAGGGTCCAGAGGAGTGGGATGCTGAACACAGGCTGCAGCTGCCAACTCCTCGCTGCAATGCCACAGTATCACACAAAATTGTCAGCTGTATTTCTTCCCCCGTAGGGAGGAAAACTGCGATGGGCCTGGATGCACCCTGCATTTTGTTTCTATTTAATCTAACTCTCCTGACAAAGGGACATCCTCTGGAGACAGGATCTCCTCATACCAGGTGAGGCATAAACTCCAGCAGTACTTTGACCCTCTCCCAGGAAGAGAAATGGGGCCTAAAATGTTTCAGGATCAGAATAGCATTAGCATTTGCCAGCCAGACACAGACAGATTTGTGACGTGACATTCTCACTGTCACTGCAGGACTCCCAGCAGCTCTGAAGCCATTTCAGTGGCATGTCTGAGCCTGAAACACGTCACTGCCAGCGCTCCCAGTGCAAGTCTGGGCTGGGTTCACAGGCTAAGGGAAAAGGGCTTTTTCCACATTAAAGACTTTCTCTCTGTTGACAATAATAAATGAGGGAAGAGAGAAGCCGATCCTGTTCCCGCGGGCCAGGTTACTCCCATTTTACAATGGTTGGGGCACATGCATGGAAGAAAAAAAAAGACGGCATACAAACATAAGAAAATCTTTCTGGGCCAGACTATCTTCCCGTCTGTCCTGTCTCCAACGGTGGCCAAGAGCAGGTGTCAGGGCAGAGCATAGGCATGGGGCAGGTAAGCAGCAATACCCACCAGAGCTCCCCCAAGCACATGGCAGTACTCAATTCAGGGCCTCTGCCTGGACCTCCCACACTGGGTTCGAAATCCAGGGCTGTGTGCTGCTCCAGCCCCCTTGAACACACCCCAATCCCCCAAGCCACGGCTGCTGGAGCCGTCCTACTGGACGTGTTTTCCAACCTGCTTGCCCCCACCCATCACTACCCATGCCCCTGTCGCTTAGCACCAGTGATAAACAGGGCATATCCCCTTGGCCGGGTGCCTGCCCAAGACATGCAGAATCAAGTCTTTTCCCGAAAACCTCCTCTGGCAGCCACTGAACAGCACCACTTGGTTTATCAGGCAGTGAGGCTATCCCTGTAGCAAAAGCACTCTTGCTTGATCAACGTCATCCTGCTAGGAAAATTGGCACTGGTCTGCCTGCCCTTTGGCGCAGATCTCTGCAACCCCCTGGCCTTGGCCTGTGTCTCCCCCCACATTACAAAACCACTCGATCTTCAGGACGGTTTTGGCTCATTGCTAAACATATGGCAGATTTCTTGCCTGGGTTTGTCCAGCCACTTCTCCCCAGGGGCAGGGGTCCCTGCCCCTGGCTCCAGCTAGCTCCACAGCTTTTTGCATCCAGTGCCAGTTTTCCTTTTGCTCTGGCAGATAATCTCAGCCATTGCAACCCATACACAGTTTCTCATGAGCCCTTTCTCCAGCCCCTCTGTTTTTCCAGCATCCCCTTCCAGCTGTCTGTGAGCTGAGAGAAAATCATCTCCTCCCCACTGTACCCCACCCCACAAGATGCCTCTTTTTAAGCTGCTTCCAGCCCACCCCACTGGGGACTGCAGGCTCCCACGCACTTTAATCGAGGAGAGTATAGGTCTTTGGCAGAAGAGGATGCCCTGCCTTCCTCCCCATCCCCATCCAGGCTCCTGCCCTGTGCCTCTGAGGGCACTTGGGCTGCAGCAGCAGGTCAGATCCAGGACGCAGTCCTGCCCCTATACCCAGCCTGGCGGGATCACAGGGCTGACTAAAGCAACAGCAAAGTCAGGAACCTTAAACCTGGACAAATAATTTGCAGGGGACTAAAGTGAGATGAGAATCCAGCCCTGCACAGCAACGACTGCTACCATGCTCCATCACCAAAGCCGGGAGTGGGGCTGCCCACAGCAGGAGAGCTGGTCGCAGCCCGGCCGAGGGGGCAGTGGTGGGGGCCCCAGGGCCCCCAGAGGGGCAGGGAGCCTCCGCTGAAACGCCGATGAGCGGCTGAGCTCAGTTTCCGCCGCACCCTGCCTTCACCCTTCCTGTACCCCTGCAGGAAACAGCCCCAGCAGCCCTCGCCCGGGGCCCGCAGGACAGCGTCCCCCAGCCCAGAGCGTGGCGGGAAGAGGCCCGCCGGCTCCCACCTCCCACCCTC